ATATTTATCTATTTGGAGCTTCGAGGAACACGCGAGAAACTCCAGTTATTTAAAATCGTGGATGTATTTTTTGAGAAATTTAAGTAAATGTAAAAAATTTACAAAATATCTAAGTATTTGTAGAGTATATATTATATAAAATATTAAAAATTTTTGATCTGGATTTGGTTGGAGTCCGTTACAAGATTCTATAGGTTATACGATTGAACATTTTCCATAAAGACGTTTAAGTTTAATGTTCGCCACTTTGACAAATTCCTGCTCATTGATTATACTACAATGATCCAAGCACAGATTTAGTGAAAGCAAAGGCTGAACGAGCATTCGTTTGTTTGATCTAAATGCATCATAAATGTTAATCATTGCTGTGATCATTTAATTACTATATTGTGCAATTGTTAAAAGTTATACGTGTCCGTTAAAATAAAATAAATTAAATTAAACCTACGAATTTAGATATTTCTATCTAAATTCCATTCCTTTAAACCGGCAGTACACACGTGGCTTTTCGAAACGGAAGTAATTACGCGGACACCCAGTAAATATACATATTATCTGTACGTTTTATGCTCCTTTGTAAAAATAATAATTAATACATGCGTATATAGATATACATACAAAAGAACTGAAGAAATAACGTTTACAATTGGATAACTTCAATCCAATTATCAGATCAGTGATTCCGCTGGATCCTTTCCACGTACGCGCTGACGAGTTAATTACGTTCACAAAAGAATTTAATAAAATTGCTGAGCATATTTGTCAACTGTGAAACTAACTGCGGTGGGAATCAGAGAAAAAAACAAGGGAAAGGTACATGGGGATGAACGACAGGGTGGTACGGAGCGAGGCTGCCGGACCAATCGGTCCTTCGAATCTGGAACGCGAATCCATTGACATGGAACCGTGACATAAAGTGGCCAGTGACACATAAAGGGCATATTTTCTGGTATTAGAAAGGTCTTTCCAAGAGCTACCTGTGTTCACGCCTGTTCGCGCTCTCCATCCAAAGAATCGGCCGCGCCGATCTTTCCACCGGCCGTTAATGGGGAAATAACCGACGGATTACGTTCGCCTAATCCACTAGCTAACGCGATATCTCATTGTCCCGAGTGGAACGGGAGGAATCTCGCTATATCTTTTTCTCGTTTCTTTTCGCCCCCGAGATTTTCGATCGAAGTCCCATGCCATCTCTGCGATTCTAAGAAGCGGGGTCGCGGAGATGCGCAACGTGTGCTTTAAAATTAACAATTTCAGGATACGCGTTTATTAATGGAAAGATACAGTCAATTTGGTCTTATTTTGTACAGAAATTTTCTGCATTTTGCAGTAGAGATTTTAATAATTTCTCACAGAAAGACTAACGTTCATCGTTGCTTTATATATAAATAGATTTTGCAGTCTTTTGTGTATTCATCCCAAAGTTGTACAAAAGCCCGCGCAACGCGCAAAAGATACATAAAGCGTCCAAAAAAAGATGTGCCACTACCGAGATTCCATTTTCTGAAACGATGTCCTCAAAAGCACGAATTCGCAATCCATTGACACGAATTTTATATATCTCTTGGTCATCGATGGTTTCCAGCGTTAAGTAGATAGGTATCTCGGGATTGGAAGTGGGAAATATCTCGAGCCATCGGCCATTCTCTCGGAAACTCTGTTCGAAAGTACGTCGTGCGACGTACGACGAAGTTCAAAAGGGGAAGGAAAGGGAAAAGGAGAGTAGAACTTTTGGACCCGCATTCGCTCACCTGCTTAGACGTGTTCGCCGTTCGTGAGACGCGGTAGGTAAGCGCGTACGTACGAATATATAGCTTCTAAAAATAATCGTCGACGATTCTAGTCGCCTCGCTTATACGCGATACACGGCCGCGCGAAGATAGCCGCTATCTCGACGAGCCGGTGTCCGATGTCGGCCACCAACGCGACCGCCGCGTTGCATCGCGTCATGCCGGTACTTTCGACACCCCGCGTGCCCAACCCGCTGCTTATTGTTCGCCGATATTAATTTTACAGACACTAATACGCGCGCGCATGCAACGACGTACGGGTTTGCACGTGGAAATACGAGATATAAAATATGCGAGTCGAACAGGAACGCCGATCAAACGTGGAAATTCATTGACGAACGGAGCCAGGTTCTTTGTTTTTTTTTTTTTTTTTTTTCGTGAAATTCAACCTGTGTGTCGTTTGTTGATGTACATGTGTGAAATATACGTTATATATACACTAAACTATCATATCTTTAATCTTTTCGAATGGAACCTTATATTTTTTGTGCACCAATCGACGTATCCTTTTGTTTTCTATAAAATGGTATTAACCTATTTGCTATAATGCTATTAGTATTTTTAAAATATTTAATTTAATATTCAATTTTATAAAATCTATGCATGAAAGATAAGAACAGCATGAACATAAGAGTACTATCCTTGCGTTTCCTCGTCCTTTATGTATAAATTTTAGAAGTTGAAGTTAAAATATCTCCCAAATTATATGTAATAGCTTAGCAAGTAGATTAATACTTTTTTTTTTTCTTACAGAAGGAGATGCATCAATTGGATATAGGATACTATTTGAAAACATTAAGTTGATCCTGAAATCTCCGAAATGCCACCACCTGATTTCATCAAATTACTTTCCCCACGAAGCGTAAGAAGATTCGCCTGAAACATTTAGAATGGAATCTATAAATGGAATAATTCCATTTATAGATTGAAACCGGACACTCTGTATACGTGTACACGTGTAGTAAATCAATCCGTGTAATTTTTAATACATGAATATTTCTGCTACATACACATCACGTATATTTAAATATGCATATAACATTATCGTGCATAAATAATTGCATATCTAATGCAATGCTATTGAAGGGTGGGTATGTTATTGTTAATTTTCTGCATTTTATCGTAACTCATACTCTGTTATATTTAATCTGAAACAGGGAATATACCTGCATCACTAAAGTTTCATGTTCATTTCCAATAAATAACTGACAATTCTTCTAATATCTCAACATTGAACGAATGTATTTTAGATTGCTAATTAACGCGCCCTTGCAAAATTAATTATCGGCCATCTTCAATTATTGCTTTTTTTTTTACTTATGTGATATCAGATGATTTGTTAACTGTATATGTTACAATTAAATTAAAAAGATTAGAGCTGTATTTCATGTATTTGCAATAACTTAGAACTATCTAAATACTTATGCACGATAATCTTTATAAGTGTCTATAACAATAATTTTATTTTTTTATATTGCGACATTTAAAAATCAGGAGCATGTCTCGTTAAATCAGAAAAATCTCTGTAATACTAAAAATCGTTCATCTATAACATTCAGGAAATCTTTCAACTAAACGACGTATATGTGGAGTTAACAAGCGTATCCTCTATAACATCTCTCGTGTAATTTGAAAGTTACACGCTTCAATATTTTGTACTTTATCAACAAACGATTACAAAAATATGAAATGAATGATTTTCAGTTAGAAGAAAAGACTAACCGACTTCCTAAAGCCACAATTTTGTCTACCTATAGCAGGTGAAGATTTTTATGTAAATTTATATTTTTGAAGATATAGTTAAATAACAGGAAATTATTTTACACGCTAACTGTTGCAATAAGCACTATATTTTGGATATTTTATATATTTTTGGACATTGTGCGCATGTTGCAATTTCTTATAAATGCGAAATTCGTAGTCGTACTTATCAATTGACTGTAGCTATTTATTAGAATAGATAAGTTTTACAGGAAGCATGTTTAATCAAATCATTTCTGACACCTAAAATCATTCACTTGTAATATTTGAAGGTTTCCTAAACTAATTGTACGTTACATGATAGAAACGATACCAGAAAAGCATGTGTAAGCTTACGATTATTAAAAGATGTGTAATACACACAATATGTGTGTAATACGTGTCGGTAATTTGTAATAAAAATAATACGTGTATAATATATACATGCGTATTAAAACCAAAAATCTTCGATTTCTTAATACACGTGTGCCTCTCACAAGCCACACGCACACGTGTATTTCAATATACATCCAAAATCACAAGTACGTTTATACGAATTCCATTTATTCGATTCGAATTTTAGTCAATACCCGATTAAATGAACTCTTGCCGGTTGAATCCACTTCGGTTTGAACCCGAACTGCCGAATCGCGCGAACGAAAAATCATTAATCGAGAGGAGAAATCCTGCTCCAATCATACACGTATGTATGTATGTATGTATGTATGTATGTATGTATATACAAACGATTTATCCCCCTTATGCAGATTCACGTAAACGGAGTTCTAAACCGTACGCGATTTAATAGCGTCTGTACGGGGGACGCGTCTCTTCTTCCATCAGAGCGGTGCTCGCGCCACTTACGAGCGCGTCGTCGCAAAGCCCTCTATTCTCATCTCTCCTCTCCTCGCTCTGTGCGCTTTGTTCCACAGGCCGGTTTAGGTGAAACCGTAGAATACTTGACATCGTCGTGGACAGTGGCTGAACGAACGGGTCGGTCGCGTCGAGCCGCGTCGCTCGCGAGGCGCCGAGAAAGTTCGAATCAGCGAGAGAGACGCGAGAGAGAGTCCGGTTTAATTTATCTGGATTTACGCCCGGCAGTGAAGATGCCCGCTCGCAGTCCGCTCCGCTGCTGCTCCGATGAGCTTCGAGGGTCTGAACGAGGACAAACGGAGGATCGTCGAGTCGATTTTGCACAGAGCCATTTTGGAATGCAATTAAACGCGGTACAACGAAATACGACGCTGCTCGGCGCTGTGCTACTACCAGTGACGGTGCTCCGCTCCGTTCCGCTGCGTTCCGCTTTGCTTCGCCCCCTTCACGTTGTTCACCCTCCCTTCTGGTCCCATCGTAGCGAGCCTTCGCCCCCTCCCATCCACCCCCATTTCCACTCACCTCCTACTCGCCGAGCTAGGAAATACCTCCGTTTATCCAGGTACGAACTTGCTCTTTGCTCGACCGAGTTCAAAGCTCTCTCTCTCTCTCTCTCTCTTCACTCATCGTGTTCCTTCCAAAATCAAAATTATTCGTCGAACGACTACAGGCAAACAACGAAACAAAACTTTGATATATCTTGCTAATAATAAATTTTTGCGACAGTCCTACGAAAGGGGTGGTGAACGTACGAGGAGAGGTGAAAGTAGAAAGAAGAAGCGGAGCGAGAGGAGCGATCGACTCGGCTGTACTCGACTCGTTCGGGGAATCGTTTTGATAAGAAAGCGCACCCCTGTCCTACGGGGGAGCTGCGCCGGGGACAATACAAAGAGGGTTCTCGGGGGATGAAGGCGAGAGAGGGAGAAGGAGGATGAGGAAGAGGAAGAGGAAGAGGGGGAGAGAGAGAGAGAGAGAGAGAGAGAGAGCGCGAGTGAGAGAGAGGGGGGGGGGAGAGGGCGGGAAAATGGCGGCTCGGAGGTCATCCGACACCAAATCGAAGGAGACGCCATCGCAAAGCGCGGCACCGCCCCTATCTATCATCGGTTCTTGCTTCTACCTGGAGTGTCATCGTTCCGTCTGACGCGCGCGCTTTCCAAATTCAAGTAACTTTCCCTGCAGGCGAACCGAAAATGTCTGGTCGATACGTCCGCGTGTCTCGAGCGTATCCCGCTCGAAAATTATCCTCTCGCTGCGATCACGCGTTCACCGCGTGCAAATTCTATAAATATATATTATACACGTATGTGCACGTTCATGTTCCATCAGCGTGCAGGGAGGAGAACAGTCGATGGCAATGTGACAGGGTGAGTTTGGTCACGGGAAATCGTCAAAGTCGCGCGGACGCGATTTGTCACTCGGTGAAGTCAGCTTAGAGAATCAGCCACTGGGATAATTAGTCGGGAAAGGCGGAGCAGATTCAAAGGATTGCCGAGGCGTGGCGGACGAGATCGAGATTTTCTCGACTGTCGAAAGACGCGCTCGTTTGTGTCTCTGCCAGAACATCGGCTTTCATTGATCTATGTAACGCCGACGGTGGCCCGTCAGGCTCGATGCTATTTTCATCCGTTTCCTGCCGACGGACGAAACAAGGTCCTGTCCACCTATGTATCGTATAAATATATCTGATGCTTTCAATTAGCAGTAATTGCACTCTGATGGAAAGCTCCATTTCAGAGACGCACACCTGTTCAGGCCTTCGACGTCATGTTTACTGATCCTATCCGCAGGATCTGTACATTTACAAACTCTCCAGGCAATTCGTTGGACCTTTTAGACAGGTCCCAGGTTCCGGGCCTACCTTTGGAATTAGGTTATTGTATTTGTTGAAGTAGCGTATTAACTACCGTATTAACTCTTGAACTGTCAAGCCGTGTCTACGCGAGTTACCATTTTCTATATTAATTGCAAATAAACAAAAAATCTTGAATTTACTCTTGAATTTGAGAATGGAAATTTATCTTCCCCTAAATTTCCAATTTTCCCGCCCCAATATAGTATAACTTTCGCTGGAAGATGAACATCTACAATTCTGCTGTGAATCAAGAGTTACCTACGAGTCGGCAAATTTTTATCTATTAGAACTACCGTTAGAACTACCAGCGACTAATGCATAGAATTTCCATTAGAAAGACACTAAAGTCAAAAGAGATAGAAAAACAATGCAATAGAATATATAGTATATATAAATCGTTTAAACCTCTAAAAATACATCCTATTTTACATCCATAAAATTTCTAATAAAAATTGCAAATCGGCCATTTTGACCAATTTGGTTAAGCTCCAGTGTTAATTGGCAGTTCGAGGGTTTGCTGTTTTCCTGTATTCGTTTGTTTCTCTTTAAATTCAGTATTTTTCGTATTTTCGTCGCTCTTAGCTAACGTTAGTAACGTTAACTCGCTCTGTGTAATAATAAATGTCAACGCGATACGTACATTCAATAGACGCGTCTCGTCGCCTGCAATCCAACTCGAATCATGCGAAAACGTGGGGACTTACTAATTGTAAGCGAAAATGAATTCGCGCGGGAGGCGAGAGGAAGACGAAGAACGACAAACGGCGCGCACCGTTTGCCGATAAGTTTCCGTTTGTTCGATACACGCGCGTCCTCAAGACGGTGACGGAGAAAGAAGCGCGGTCGGAGTCGAAGTGACGAGCACGAAAGAAGAGTACAGACCAAGTGAGAGAATCGGTTGCCGGTGTTGTTGAAATTAATTGAACGCGAGGCGTGATAGCACCGCGTAGAATCACAACACGGTGTACGGTAACGTTGTCGCGTTCCGTTTCCGGTGTTTGTCGTTCGCCTCGCGCGGTTCTCCAGCAACCCGCCAACTCGCCTCCACGAGTCCTTGTTTCGCTCGCACGTACGTACAATCTGCTGTCGCGCAATTTTCGGGGGGAAGGGGGTTCGAAAGTTCGAACGGAAACAGAAAGTTACACGAAATATACACGGCCGGAGAATTTCAGAAGTTCAGAAACGATTTGGAGGGAAGGGAAACGATTCGCGTCGGTCGGAGACGTTCACAGGTGAGGTGACAGCGTAGAGAAGAAGCCGGTTTCCGTGGACACCGAATGGGGTGGCTTCCGGCCGGGGGGTAGAAGTTTGCGCCGCCCCCGGCGACCTCCAATAGGACGAGTTTGCACGCTCCTCGGCGACCAATCGCGAGGACCGACCGCTTCGGACCGCGTCGTGCTGCGCTCCACTCCTCGTCGTGCGAATGCGCCACGAAAAACGAAAAAGAAGGTCGACTGGAAGATGAAGAGAGAATGATAGAGAGAGAGAGAGAGAGAGAGGGAGGGAGAGAAAACGAGACCGAGAGGCAGAGACCAAGAGTGAAAGCAAGAGAGAGAACACCCGTCGTGACAACCTCCTCCACCAACTGCATCGGCATCGGCATCGGTGCGGAGCGATCGGCAGTACCATTGGCACCACCACGATAGTCATTTGAGTTGATGCCAGTTGCAGTAGAACCGCGTTAACGCGTCTTCACGCGGTCAGATTTATCCCGATAGTTTCTCTCATAATTGATCGACCGACCAGTCTCAACCGTCTAATTTATCATTAAGTGCGAAGTTTCCAATCGTGGAAGTAAATTATCGGCGGATATTGGTGCGGTGTGCAGTGGCTGGTTTCGTTAAGAACAAGATGCATAGAAGGTACGAAGGTAGCGAAGGTTGAAGGATGCTTCCGGCTTCTGGCTTCGATGGAACTGTGCTGCATCAGAGACGCGAGTGACGCGCACCCGGCGGCAAGGATTTATGAATGAAGACACGGATGGCGGGGACGTGAATGAAGCGCGGCTCATCGAATAAACGTCGATCGTTCGTGCAGCGAGTGCTTGTTCCCGCGATAAGCTACGTCGGATCGTAGGTACACGTACGGGCGTGTGTTTATTCGACGATCGATAACGCGAGTCGCGAGACGATCGTGCGGTCGCGGCTGGAACGCTCGGACGTCGCGAAAGCTGCGTGCGACGCGAAGAGAACGTCGGAGAGATGAGCCTCGAATGATCGGCGAGAAACGGAGAATCGACACCGAGAATGCCCGATAGCTCGGACCAACTATCGTCGCCGAACAGCGAATGCAACAGTCAGATCGGTGGCATGCACCGGAACGCGTCCACCGGGCAATTTGACGACTCGTCGATGTCCGGGCTCTCGTTGACGCATCACTCGCATTCCCAAAATCTGACGGCGGCGTCGAACGGCGGCCTTCAGTATCCGCAGGAGCTGACCACTTGCAGTTCCGCGAATACGCCCGCCAATATCGGAAACATCGGCGGGCTTTCTCTGGGAATTACAGCCAGTAACTATACGCCGGATCAGATATCTTGTATGTGCAAGGCGTTATCGCAGAGACAGGATATCGAGAAGCTTACGAGGTAATCATCGTTCCTTGTTCCGTGCCATTTTTTCTTTCTCTTTTCTTCCCTCCTCTTTCATTCTGCCTTCTTCTAATTTCTCCTTTGTCGACTCGATGCTTGGATACTTTGAGAGATGCCACGCAACTATCGTCAGCCGGGTCTCTATCTATTTGTTGCAAGAATTCACGACCTATTCTTATGTATAAGTTCCAATTCGGGAAGTTTTCTGTTCCTTCTTCGCTCTTTACCTCTCCTTTATTTTATTTTCTTCTTTTTTTTCCGTCGACCCGATGCTCGATTTCTCGGAGGATTGCAAACAATCGTCGTTCTATATCGACCTCTTCTGTATCACGAAAAAATTCGCCCTTTACGAGTTTCAGTTCGGGATCATCTGGATCCGCTTTCTGCGATCTTCCTTTTAGAAGAAAACAAAAGTTCTTTTTTTTATTTTGTTTTCTGAGAATTCTTCTGGGAATCTCAAATAATCATCATTGGTCGAACCGCTTTCTGCCGGCTTCATCTTTGAAAGCTCCAAACCAGAACCGTGTGCGTTTCTGTGACTTCTTTCCATAACTTTCTGTTAACGTTATTCGCGGATCAAAGAACTCGTGGTCGACGACGATTGATCAATCCACTGGCCAATTTGAACGATCTAGGTGGATTCAAATTCATTGAAAGACGTATTCACACATTCTTCGCTAATATTTTATCTCATACTAGCGTTTCTATGAATTGAAGTTGGAAATTTAAATTTCGAAACATATGAAATTGAAATTGGAACGAAAATCTGTGTACTTCCTCTTGCGTGATTTTCCTCGACGATGTGCACAACACCGAGTCGAAATTACTTGCCGGTTTACGTGATTCGTGCGATTCATTTATATCAAGAATCTCTTAATATATTAATATAAATATAACAACAAATACAACATCATTAAACAATCATTAGTCAAAAAGATCAACGCACTTAAACGCTTGATATACTTTCGAAACGGTGATATTTCCATTTCGTCCACATTTGGATCTTTCGAATTGGTCGCACGGTACGACGGATACCGCGAATCTAAAAGAAGGGCACGACGTTGTTTCGATAACAGGCTCCTATGGTCTTTGCCGCCCGGCGAGTTGCTCCGCCGTGACGAGAACGTGTTGATAGCGAGAGCCACGGTGGCCTTTCATCGAGGCGCTTACCACGAGCTCTACTCCATCCTGGAGAGCCATCCTTTCTCACCTGATCGGCACCCGGAGCTGCAGCAGATGTGGTTCAAGTCGCATTACAGCGAGGCGGAGAAGATCCGCGGCAGGCCGCTTGGCGCGGTGGACAAATACCGGCTACGGAAGAAGTACCCGCTGCCAAAGACCATTTGGGACGGCGAGGAGGTGGTGTACTGCTTCAAGGAACGATCGAGGAACGCGTTGAAGCAATGCTACATGAGGACCAAGTACCCGCTCTCCGAGGAGAAGAAGAACCTGGCGAAGGAGACCGGCCTGACCTTGACGCAGGTGGCCAATTGGTTCAAGAATCGACGGCAAAGGGATCGCACGCCGCAGACGAGACCGTAAGTCAGTCTTCCTTTCTCTCTCAGGCGTTCCTTCCTCTTTCGCCTCTCGCGGGGAAATTCTCCTTGCCAGAGAAGTTGCTCTGAGACGCAAGCGTGCCCTGCTCTCGCAACTTTCTTGCATGGATGGCACGTGTGTCAACGGGGGGTCACCGGCTTTTCCACCGAGCGATAAGTGTTTCGACATGTGTACAGGGTCGTGCGTTTTTCCCTCCTTTTCGAGAGGTTGGCCGCTTCCAAGACGGTAAATCATTCCCGGAATGAGTCGGGGTAATCATCGGGGTGCGTGCATCTTTGCAGGAAACATTTCAACTCGTCGACAACGTTGACCTACCATTTTTTTTTTTTCCATTCACTTTTCTATTCACGTTTGCAAACGAAATTACGACGTTTATACTACCCACGTCTTGCTCTGTCTTCGGTTCTTTGCCGTAGCCGTGTGTCCGCAACGCATTTTCACAAATACTCGCGTTATTGTGCTTGATTTACAAGCGTCAGATTAGTAACGTGGAACACTTGGAATTCAAAAGTATCATTTAAGAAAATGTACTCTTGAAGCAATCAAAGTTCGACAATTTCCTTACTTACAAAGTCAGGTATACGTTAAAAGATGAGATTAACGTGATACTTGGCACTTAATAGATCTTCAACAGATCTTCGGAGAAATTCATTATTCCTTTAAGTATAGAATAGGTACATTTGAAATCCAAACATCGATCATTACTCAACGATTTTCATTTAAAAATTGATAAGTTAATTGAAGATCTATAATGTCAAATATTGATATATTCGTTTCGTCTTTCACATCAGAACTATCAAAATGATCAAAATGATCAATTTGTAATTTTTATTGGATACTTTATAGACATGAAACAGTGTATTTTTAGAGATTTAAATGATTTTTCGTAAAATGTATAAAGAAAAGCTTGTATACTTCATTATACTATGAAGTTTTTTATTTTCTTTTACCCACTAACATCTCTGAAACTACGTTTTAATCGCTGATAGTTCTAGTGTTAATCTTTCTTTTTTTAGAACTTGAACTTTTATTTTTAGAATATTTTAATACCTGAATGTTACATTACTGCAATAAATCGCAGTAATTTGCTACCAAGTGATGATCTTTTCAGTCACTAGCAGATATTTTATTCCAGCGATACATTTTAAACAAATATGGTTTGGATAAAGAATTCTTTACTGTACGTACACGCATACTTGAGTTTGCAAGTAGAATTTTGTATCGATAAATCTGTTTAAATCAAATAGAAATTAAATGCTAATAATTTTGAGCTTGCAGCTTCAACGAGATTAAAATTAGGCCTTCTTTTTCACAAGCTAATCGTTGCGCCCTCTTTAACGAGAAGGTTGCCGACCTTGTGAACCGATCGCGTCGATCGTCTGTTAACCTCTGCTCTGCTCGATGTTTCGTTTCCTCGTTTCCGTGAAATTCATCCCAGAAAATTTTGCTCGAATTTCGCCGCTGTGTAGATCGCGCGCGTATATAATGGATAAGGGTAATAGGAGAGAGAGAGAGAGAGAGAGAGAGAGAGAAAGAGAGAGAGAGAGAGAGAGAGAAGAACATTGTTATGGCTACGACGTAGCTCGGTGGTCACGCTCCGGCTTTGGACCGTACGCTGACGCAACATCGCTCGCTTCGATGGAAAAAAAAAAGAGTTCCCCGAAGATTTTTCACGTTTCGTCCATCGCCGTTGGTTCTTCGTTCACGAGCCTCCTCGCGAGACTCGTCGTCGACCGGGAAAAATCGTTCTCGATCGCGAAAATCCACCGTCCGAGCGTTCTCCTCGTTCGGCCCCTAACTCGGTCCCACTCGAAAAGGAAACGCGACGCCCTATTACCGTTTTATGACGCAGCTTCGGTTACGTCTCTCGTTTCACCATTGAGCTGTTCGCACTACCAATAGTTTATATACATAAAGGCCACGACCGGCCCTCCCGACGCTCACTCCCATTTATCTCGAGCGCGTTTTACTCTCCGACGCTTACTTTTCTCCGTTTCCATCCTGTCATTATTCCGTTTATCGTGGTTCGTATCGTTCGGATCTCGGCCAAGATTCCCCCGTGAACGTACGTATCGCCTCGGTCATTGGCGAGTTGTAGGTGGGCTCCGAAAGAAATCGGCTCGATAATGAGGAAAAAAAAAAAAAAAGAAAGGGAGAAACGCGTTCGGTGGTTCAGACCTTGGAGCGCGACCATAAAAATGCGCGGTTCGTAGCAGGGCGGTGAGAGAAGGTCGACGTCGGGGAGGAGGTGAACGAAGCGAACGAAGTGGCAGGAACCAAGTGGTCAGGGGCGGAGCTGGTTGCACATGGACCACCGTGCGTGCACGTGCGTGTCGCCAACGTTAACGTTAAGTACCAACGCCGACGCGGCGAAAACACGTACGTGTACGCATATACACGCATATACGGCTCGCTGTGCGACTAGCTGTGCAAAGATCGCTACGGCGGGGTAGCGCGGCCAGAGGTCAAAGGGAGGAACGTTCGCGCGTGCAAATGGTCGGAGAGCGTTTCATTCCGCCGACCGCGGAACAATGCGCAGCGAACAGACCGCCTTTTCTCTCCTTTTCTTCTTTCCTCCGCCCGGAACCTTCCTCGCCGAAAGACGAAGAAATTCTCGGAACGAGAGAGGGACGCGTGTGTGCGCGCCTACGAACCTCTAATCGTTCGGACCTTCCTAGGCCAAGGGTCGTGGATATTTTTTCTGACTCGTAAGACAATGCGAGAAGCTCGCATGTGTTTCTCAGTTCCGACCTTTTCTCCGATTTTTCATCCCCATCGACATTTCACAGGACACCCGCGGACGATTTATTGCGGGGCGACGGGGAGATTTCTTTGAACTGACTCTTTTTCGCATTTGTATCGACTCCGTAACGTACAACGTGTCTCTCGCGTTTCGTTTTCGTTCGAGCGGCATCCTGTCGAGCGTTGCGAAGTTCATTCGATCGAGTTGCCTCAACAACTCCTTCGTTTTCCTCGTTTCAGGGACATGTTGCCGTTAAACTGCCAGAATAACGCCGGCAACGTGATCGGCAGCACGGTGAGCAACGGGGAAAGCATTCAATCGTTGCAGAGTATCGATTCGAACGGCACGAATCTGGCGATGTCGCCGCTCTCGACGATGAGCATGTCGCCGATCGCTGTGAACCCGTGCAGCCCGATGGGCATGAGTCCTATGGCTCCCCGTCATCCCAGATACGCGACACCCGTGGTTCCGTCCTCCGTGCACACTACGCATCCTCACAGCGGCGGCCTCAGTCCCATGAACGACGTGAAAACGCTGTGCTACGGACGCGGCGTTTGCGAAACCGGTAAGTTTCCTTTACACCTTGCTCTTCCCTCTCGATCGATCGTTATCGATCGTTACTCTTGTTCCAGGCAAGGACACGGAGCAGACCTCGGTCTACTACTCGAGCCATTCGAGCATGCATCATCAGTATTACCAGCAGACGCATCATCAAATGATGTCCAGCGCTCATCATTATCAGCACCATCAACAGGGGATGCCGACCGGATACGAAATTACGCTTCCGCCTCCTCAGCACTCGACGTGACCAACCGATTACGGGAACGATCGGAACGACGCGGCTCACCCTGGTCAAATCGACGACGTGTTCTCGCGTGTTCACGCGTTTGCCTGACTCGGTCTCCCACGCACAATCGACGTGGCGTTGCGTCACGCGACGCAATCGGTCTGTTCCTTCGTGTCGCGTAACGTTTCTTGTACATTTTTTCTATCCGCGGACGTTCGGTTTCGGAGGAACGAGGCGATCCAACGTTCGCGCGATCGTACGCCTCGTTCCCTGGCCAATGAAGGCGCAACCTCGTCCGTAAAATGTTCTGGGAGGAGCCTTCCCTCGAAGGAGAACTGGTTTCGAAGGCGCACCCTTCTCAAAAGGTGTTCGCCATGGAGTTTTCTCAGCTGCTCCTCCTCCCTCCTCCCTCTGTGTGCGAGAAAAACGACCGTGCAAACGAGCGCATTTCACCGATGCAAATCGATATCGTGTCGCTGCGCGGATCGCTTCCTTGCGCCCAAGTCTCGCTCGTTTCGCGTAGTATCCCTTCGCGAATTCTACGCGAACGCGTCGTGGGTTTACCAGGACGAAGCTCTGTCTCCTTCTAGCTCTTGAAAACGATCCGCTTGCGACGCGAACCGGTCGCAAGTTGCCGCAGTTACCATTCACTTTCCTTTTTTAATCGATTCGAGGACGATCGAACGAGTTAATGTTCCTTCACTCGGAAATATCGGATTATTTCGACGCGACGAAAGCAACGTTTGCTACTCGCTTGAGTCACGTGCATGCGTGTGTCGGCAGTACGTCGACGTATGTACATACGTATGTATTATGTACGTGTGCATGTAAGTATGTGTGTATGCATGTAGTATGTAAATATAGGTTGATCACAGTGTTCAATTTCTGGTGCAAAATATATTTTTCGACCGTGGAATCGAGCCTACGAATAAACAGAGTACGCTTGGACAACTCGATTCTCGTGTCCCACAACTGGAATGAAACGATCTCTCGCAGAACGATGTATCGCTTTGACGAAAATTTTATTGTACAACCATGTGCGAGATGCGTTAGATGTATAGTTTAAGTAAATCATAAATCTGTGAATCATGTCTTGATTCTTGTTAGACCAAATTTTCACATTTCTTTCCTTATGACGTTTGCAATCCTTTAATCGCAATAATAATAACAACAATGACAATCAATGATAAAAAGTAGTCAATCGCTATGATCTATTTTTAATTGGAGTAGCATACGATCCTAGTTGTTTTGAATTTGAAATCGTAAATTGTTTAATTTTACAAAACACTATTTTTTTTTTAATATTATCGACGGATAATTAGATTACCGATCATAAATAACACGCTCTAACCTATACGATAATCAAATTCGTAGTGCATGCTTTTTCCCGCCATATTCTCCTCCTTCCGATCTACGAGATTTAATTCAATACTTAAAATATCCCAACGAACGTACATAAAAACTAATTTAATTCGACAATGAAATTATTTTATGGATTGCTGCACTTGAAATATCATTTTTGTATGATTTCCATCCTGTATACAGCTCCTTCAAAATATGTATTTTTTCGTTGATAAATTTTAAATGTCTATTTCCAGCAACTGTTGGAACAGTTTTAAAGATAAACTTTGAAATATATATGTAATTTCGGAATTTTATATTTTCATTATAAATCCTTAACAATGAACATTCATACGGATTGTAACAAATTTATTTTTCTTCCATATGATTGACAATTGACAAGTTTAAACTTCGAATAAATGACATTTCGTTAGTCGAACCAATACACGTGTTATGCAAAATTTAAACTCACCATTTCAGAAAATGATCGATGTAGTCGGCGAAAAGGACCAAGGAAACTGGGCGAAAACTTCATCCGTGCTTCGGCGTCGACTGCATACATATGTTTGGATAACATATCGATTACAATACATACATCAATTACGGTATAACATGTTATTCGATTTATGCTTTGAACAGTATCGAAAAACGTATTAAAACAAAGACGCGACGCGAAATCCTATCGCTTTGCGGCCAAACGAGTAGTAAAGTTGGAAATAAATCGTTGATTAATATCGAATAACGTAAAAACACCGGTGCAACCGAAGACGACACTGATTGATTTTAAAATCGGCGAAACAACGACCGGGTGCATCTTCCGACAACAGTAATTAACATGTATGGTGTAACACGACGTTTAGAAACTTATGATTTGTTGGAATTTAATCACACCGATGACAGAAGTGACGGACACGATTGAAAAGCAAACGAGATACCTTGGTTGCTTGCGCGTTAAATCATTGGCTAGGAACTACTTTAAATATTCTAACATTCTAAAATTAATTAAAAGCAATGAATCTATAATATGATTTAAAATAACAAAACGCAAAATAAATTTACATAACACTAAGCCAACTATGAAAATTAAAAATCAAAACTGCAAAAATAATCGCGGTATTATAATTCGCAACTCTAAAGCAAACACGATTATAATTTCTTCGCAACTCTAATTCAACCCGTAATCAATCTTTCGCAACACTAACAAGAAAAACCGCGATTTGCCCACAATAATGATGAACGATGATGGAGAAGAGAGAAAAGGTACAACTACAAATACTAAAAGAGCATAGTGACAAAGTAGTAACGAGAATGATTTCCCATGCTTTGGAATCATTTAAATGATCCAGAGGATGAGAAGCCATTTGTTGTGACCCTCTTCGTGGCAGTTTGCCGGGCCTCTTCGGCTTTTAGCCTTTTCTTTCTTCGAGCGCAATGCCCGCTGAAACTTACATCTAGCTCGAGTCTTTCTAATCACAAACCAAAAAACAATTTATAAAGGTGAAATGAAAAAATAAACAGCGATAGCTGACCTCAATACACATGGACGACTATCGATCACAGTGATCGTTGTCCGCTCGCATGTGCATGCTCGAGCAATACCTACATAAACGTTCGTTTCGGGACCTAGTCGCGACCTATCCGCGACCACGACCGCGGTACTAAATTCGAAAAATCGAAGAGTAAAACCAGAAACAAGTGGCATGCTCCATTTCTACCAATTTCGCTGTCGATTTTTCAAATTAGATTTCCTGAAACAGGTTGGACACGCGAAAAAAGGACACGCGACCAGAGACTGTGCCAACCTGCCCGGCCCTACCTACTTATAATTAAACACATTCACACCAGAGAGTATGCTACCTATCCTAACAGTCGCCCTATATTTAAAAAATGGCAAAACAGGCACACCAACACACTCATTCCACGGTTCTCACACATACCGCTCGGGCGCAGACCTAAACTAGAGAGGACATCCCGAGACGCCTCCGACACCCGAGTTTAACATACAACTTTCACACTCTAATTTACGTACCATTTTCCTGAAATCGACTGACAATGGCTAGCGATCATTGCGTAAAACGTGAATAAAACACGTTTATATTTACAGCTAATATTAATAACCGAAAAAAATACATATAATTTCTATAGAAATTACAACTTATGTGCAAGTTGACTTGGAATCATTACTACAATTGACCGGATAATTGATAAATAATGTAATTACAAAATATTTAATAAGTATCATTGTATAATAAATGCGAATTTCAAATCATGTGCATAAATATTTCGAATATTACAACTTATAATGAATGAAATACAATAAAAACGACGCAATTCCACATCCTAACCACACACACATATGCGGAAAATACGTCGTGCACGATACGCTAATACATTGTCAGTCGCTGAGAAATTTTTCATAAAATTACAATCTATAGTCATCGTGCCCAATGTCTTTCACTCACCCAAGTAGCACCTGAGCACGTGAGTGAGATCCTGACAATGAACACGGAAGGGGTTAAACCTGGAAATCCTGAACTAAAAAAATGATTAATTTATATAGTTGTATCTAACGGACTATTTTATCATTTTATTTCAAACTCTAATGACTCTACTCTTTCAGAATTTAATGAAATTGCAAGAGAATAAAGACAATGAACAAGAATTATATTCATTAAAAAAGATATTCTGAAATTTAATAATTATTGACTCAAACAATCACAATTAAACAACTGACTCTAAAGTATTAAATTAAGTATTAATAGAAACAACCTCAGGCGACTTCTTTATCAAAGCACATTTTCGAAAATACGAAAGTATTTGCAGTGTTCAAACTTGTTGCTTTGATTCAAAAATCTGCCTGTCGCGAAGTATCTTCTTGCACATAAAACTTCATACATATTTCTACGGAAAGAAATATTATTTCTAATCTATTATATTTCAATTTCTACTGAAGTTCATAATTATTAAATTAATTATTAACTTAATTAATTCAATCAATCAATACTATTATTGAGAAGATGAAATTAGTAATTATTAAGTATTATTTATTATAACAAAACATATCATCAGTATTAGTAAGTAATAACTGCATCTTTCATAGCAACGAAGTCGGAGGATATCCGTCTTCTCTTCTATGAAGTGCTCAAACGAAATCGTTTTAATAATAATTATTTATAAATATTTATAATTTATTTGTTTACATGGATATTTTATACTGAAGATTTATACTGAAGATATTCTGATTTTATAAGTTTTTAATATTACTATAAATGTACATATNATTCAGACCTTTCGTCCTACGACATGATTGAGTGACCGGAGGAACATAAATGCATGCGACTCACGAGATAGATGTGAAGAACGTTACAATCGATGCTGGACCAAGGAAAGTCGTTGTGAAGATCCTCCTTGAATAGGTAAAGGAGTATTGGAGACTGTGGAGGATCTGTAATGAAATATAAAACATTAGAATTTGTACAATATTTATAAGCAGAATTTTAAGTTCGAGATAATAAAAGATTCTTACATTCTTAGTTTTAGAGCCACCGCTGGATTTTCCGCAAAAAATGCAAAAGAATTGATGCTGTGATGCATCTGTAACAAATATCAAACATTATACTTTGTGAAATTTGAAAAATTGAGTAAACTGAATTACAATATATAAAACTACTTACGATCTTGATCTCCAGGAGAGGCCTTATCCTCTTGAGCACTGACTCTAATATACCGAATGTTGAATAAGAGAAAATATAAAAAAAGAAAAATAAAATACTATCAACGCGCGCGTTTAAGTCTTAAATCGGCGGACTCACTGACTCTAATTTCGCGAATTATAGCTTAAATGAATTAATTTGATTTAATAGGAGCCATTCTGCTCAGAGAAATATTAAAATATTGCGCAACAAACACTGACTCTACCAACCGCATTGCGCGCGGTCACAAAAATTTTCTGAAAAATTGAAATAAATCTGATTAGTAGGGGAAGGACAGAAGAAACGTTCATTCAGAAAATACTGCTATTTTTCTAGAAAATAATTATGAAGAATAATAAGTATTAAAGAATGGAAGTAAAAGAGTATGTCAAAACGACGCTAGTGTACGAGACAAGGTATATGTGATTGTAAGAGTGATTGAAGAAAAATCAGCAAGAAAATCTCTAAAATCTTACTCGATTTCGTTATCTTGATGCTCAACGAAACACACGGGTATTAATTAAATGATACTATAAATGTAAGTAAAAGAGTATCGAAGAAACGACGCCGTCAAACCTAATGCGATGTAATACGTCTTACTGTCTCGAAATCTGATAACTGAATGTCTTGTCTCGACTTGTCTCGACAAAGTGGGAACGAAAAGTCGAAAAGGAGTCACGCAAGTAAATAAGCACACATAAGAGCCTTACACATACACGTAAGCGTTATGTTTATGTTTTGAACCCCGAATTTCGAGCTCCAAGGCCTTCTACGCCTTATTATGTTTGAAAAATGAAAACTTCGATTATATTACGTATTAAAATTATCATTTTAACTATTAAACTATTACGTACATTCTTAATAAATTATTGTTGAATTTCATATAAGAATTTCATATAAGAATTACGCACTATGAAGTTAAAAATAAGTAGAAAATGTTATAATAGAAGTGAGTGTATAAAGGCATATAGTAAAATATGTACATACATACAACATGTAACAGTGAGTTAGTCAATTATAAAGTTACAATATTTGTATTGAATAGAAGTGAAATTAAATTTTGGTATAAAATGATATATAACTTTTAGCATAGTATATTCTGTTTAAACGTTTATGTGCTATTATTTCCTTAATTGTTGAAAATTATGTGTAATAATTATTTGGTTAAATCTTACCTTGAGTTCATGCAAAAAATACATATTTTATCTTAAAAATGCAAAACACAAAAAACAAATCCAACTATTGATGTAAATTTTTACCTGAGAACTTCCGAATAATAGGTCTTTCTGGATAATTCTTCTGAATAACACTTTCTTCTTTACAGACGAGGTGTGCTTCCTTCCGCCATGTTCCCGCTTTAAAATCGATCGTGAGAAATATCGATATGTTCGAGAATCGTAGGAAGAGTATTCCATATTTCACCGTTAGGGCGCTGTAATCGCACGTTTTGCAGAAAATACTGAGAATAAAAAGTAAAAAACTCTGGTCTAAATCAAATACACAAAATTCATTAAAATTCTTAAATAAGAACGAAAATATTCATACACTAATAATAATAATAATAATAATAATAATAAAAATACTTTAATAATCCTGAGGTCATTTCTTTCAAAGATATTCAAAAATCTTTTTCATCGAAGAGAAATTTTTCATCAGTGAAAAATTTTCTCCATGACTAGATCAATCATGATTTTGAAGATTGAAATATTTTTTTTATAATGACTCCTTAAAACTAGCTGTACGATATTTTCTCGTCGTTTTATTGAACTTAAATCATTAGGATTGAATGATAACTATTCAAGAAATTCTAACATTTCGTCGTTTAGCTCTGATGAAATTTAATAAAATCTAGAAAAAATTGTACAGCAGTTTTTAAGGACTCATTGTAAAGGGAAAACTATAATCTTCAAGATCATTGTAACTCTGATCATGAAAAATATTTTTTTAGCGAATTTTGAGAAGTTAGAATTTTTACAATTTTTTCAATAAGAAAAATATCATTAGTTTCTTACTCACTGTATCATGTAGAATTATCTCTCAACAAAACGAACTTAGGATTGTAAAAGTAAATGCTTCATGCTTGAGATTCAAATGAGACCCAAGTGAACATTTTTTTATACATATTTTCTTTCATAAAGTAAGTTTTATACATATTTTCATTCACAGTTTAAAACTTAACAATTTTTCACCAAGAATGATTGCTTTCATCCGTTAATGTATAATATTTTATTAAATTCAAATCTTTTGTGCCAAGATATTTCATCTGTGGTTATACTGTCTCAGACACTTTCCTGTGAATCGAGAACTCGTAAAAATGAAAGAAGATAACTTACGACCTACTGAGTATGCACGAACATTAACATCACAATTGTAAGTTAGTCAACAGTTACAATGTCACAACAATTGTACTGTTAGAACTGAATTCTGGCAGATTTCGATGAGTTCAAGCTAAAAATGCAAGTTTTAATTTAAAAATTTACAACACAAACGCAAGTCTAACAGCTATTGATCTATAGTTACTTGAAAACTTTTGGACGATACCTCTTTTTGGATGAAACTTTGTTCTTTACAGACAAAATTGTGCTTCTTCCGCCATGAAGAAGCTTCTTCCCCGCTTAAAAATCGATCACGAGAAATATCGATTACATTCGAGAATCGTAGGTACTATGTTGCGTGTTTCACCGAGTAGTGGCGCTGTAATCGTTAACTAACTCCAATACGAGCGCGGTTCATACGAAACTACCATGAGATAAAAAATAACAATATTTATAGAAATATTGTTACGCCCTTTATATAAAATAAAATAAAAATATATTTTATAATTTCAATTTTTTCTTATATTTTTAAATGAATGTAAATAATCAAGTATATAATAAAATTTTTTTTCGTCTTAATTACTATCAATCCCAGTGCCAATCTTTATATTTTTTTTATATTCTTATTTTATATTTCATATTCTTATCATATTTATATTCTTTTACTGATGAAATATCACTATATTCAATCCAATAAATTATATATATTTATGTCTATATTGTTTAATTTTTCTGGTAATAGTTTTAATCCATCTTAATATTAGAACAAATCGGGAAATGATCAGAACCCCAAGTCTCATGATACACAACAGTATCAATTTTGCCAGAAATATTAAAAGTAAAGAATAGAGATCAATATTGGATTTAAAATTTTTATGTATGATAATATATGTACAAGTGTTATCATTATGTAGTAGAAGATTAAAGTTTCCAAGGCATTATGATATCTTCTACCATTGCTATCTGTATATTTGCAATTCGAATTTTTAGAATAATGAGCGTTAATCACCTATTAAAATGCAGTTGTGTTTAGCATTAATATTTTAAACAATTAGATTTCATTGATCCTGTGTGAAAGTGAGGTTTGGAGTTCTGTAGCAGAGAAATATATTCAGTTCTACCTGCACATTATTTAAATAAAGAGCTATAATTCAATATAACTTAAATAACGATTAACTTCTCATAGTTTTACTGAGATTTCAGGAGATTTGATGTTAGTAATTTGCTTGAAAGTCACGTTTTTACAAAATTAGAATTCCACTACCTTTTGAATGAGTTCTATCCTTTCTAAACTCTATGAATCATGGGAAATTAAAGTTTTCCTTGTGAGTCAGCCACGTTTCAATAAAGATGAGGATGTCATAATTGACTAATATGGACTGAATTTCCAGGCGCTTAGAGCGAAGACTTCTTCAGTTCCAAAAGAAAATTCGTAACAATGTAACAGTTGTAGCTGAATAACTGTTGTATGAATAACTTTAATCTAATTAGGATCTTCTTCTAGAAGAGAGAAATCCTCACTCACAGTATCTTCTGGATAGGAACTGTTGAGGCGTTTGACAATTCTTATGATGAGGCTTTTTATTTTAAGTTAAGAGGCTTTTATTTTAAGTTCTGTAAAGAAGAGGAAAGCATCTTTATTAGAGCTGGTATATCCTTTGAATGGTTTAACGCTGTTTCTTAGATTTTGGGATTGTCGTATCTAGTAGGAACTACTGAAAACTTTAAAAATGGGTGATTTTGAGTAGGATCCAAAATGTAATCCTTGACAGGCAGCAATAGCAAGGAGATTTCTTCTATGGTAGTCTTTGTCCTGTTAACTATTGCGTTTCTTGATTTCTTTAGTACACAAATAACTGTTTTAGGTCTATCATCTTTGACAGTATTCAAATCACTGAAAGAGTTCTTGGAAGAACTGAAGTTAATAAGCTGTCTCTTGATGCATCTTGGGGGTGGCAATAGGACGGTTTATGATGTTTTTAGCTTTCAGTTTATATATTTGAGGTAACGATGTAACAGAAATCTGGAATGAAGGTAACACAGGAAAAGATTTTGACTGTTCAGCTTGGACGACTGGATCAGTAATTATTTTGTTGTAATATGATGCTAGAATTGTGCAAAACCATGGGCTGGGAGTCGAAGTTTATGCGGAATTTACCCACATGATCCTCTTCCTTGCATAAGAAAGCTACTTTGTCTGCTGATAAATATACCCAGTAAGATGTATTATCATAATTTAGTTGGATTCAGGTACATTTGGAATGTCTTCAGATTAGAAATACATCTGACAACAAAAGGATCAAGTTGTGTGTGTATCCTAAATCATTTAGACTTGTTCTAATGAAGGTGGCCTAAAAGATGGGTCTAATATATTGCGTCTAATATATGCTCTTCAAGAATGACACAGTGTGAAATTATAAGGTACAGAATATTATGCATTTTCATTTAGAAATGACGGGTCGAATTTCTATAGAATGAGATTTGATGTTCCATATGACTCAGTTAACCTGTCAGCCATGTGCTTGCTATCTTGGTATAAGCAAACTAGTCCTTGAGAAATTCCTAGATATAATCTGATATTCGGCAGCCCGTTAAACTTCCAATTTCAACAATATATTCTTAAATCAAAGTACCTTTGATGCAGTCTAACATGACTGAGCGTTCTCGTGTATGATACTGTGATTGCTGCGCAGCTAGAGTGTATGAGACTTTGAAAAAAACATTTTGAATGAGGAAATCCATGATTTTAGGTTCAGTTGAGGTTAAGTGTCCCTGTAATTAGAAACATTTAAAGAAAAAAGGAATAGTAGATCAGGG